AGGGAAAGACTTGCACCCTGTCCTCAGGTTAGACATCACAGTATACTCAGTCTAGAGTTAGCAGTATTTTTCACTTTCTACTTCTTGCTGCTTCCCATGAGTTTTATCTTGTTTCTTTAATAATGGTGCTGTTTTGTGACATCGACGGGCAACTTCCGAGATGTCTCTGTCTTTTACTGAAGGATTTCACTTGGCTAAGGAAAGGTATTGCTCTTGGACCAAAGTGATGTGACGGTGATTTTCTGGTTCTTAACTCTGTGATTGGAGCATAGTTTAGCTGACTCACATAGCTGATATTTTGACTCAGTACAATAAAAATAATCTGAAATCTATGTGGATTAGTAATGCATGCAGTTGCCTGTTATGAGATAGATGGCAGCTTGCACAGGGCCCCACTGGGGAGGCTTGCAGAGCAGTCTTAATCCTGAGAAAAATGAAGTGACACAGTGGCCTGTCTACTTTCCCACTTCCCCTTTAGTAAAGAAGGATGGAAAGGAAAGTCCTTGGTAAAGATAGCTGCTGTTCTCATGGCCTTACGAGAAGAAAACACTTTTTGAGTACTGCTTCCCTAGAAAAGAGCATTCCACAATTTTGTCTTAAAAAGCAAAGTTTAGCCCACTTGACATCCCAGAGCTTGGAGGTGATGAGCTCTGGATCGAGGCTTGGCAGCTCTCAAGAAAAACTTGGAATTCAGACATACCCATTTCTCCCCCCATCCAGCCTCCTGTCGGTTGTTGGGCTAAGATCTGATTCACCAACGGTCTGTTTATTTCGTGCAAACATTTCTGGATTTGTTTTTAGTAACTACAGCTGTTTCTGCTGGGAGACTTCCTGAACGATTACACTTCCCATGTACCTAAGGAGCTGCGTAACAGCCAGCAGTTAAACACGCTGCCACAGGACTAACATGGAGGTAGTAGATCAGAGAGAGCAGCCAGGGCAGGAGCACATCCATGCAGTCTTTGCCTTCCTGTGAATGCAGCTTGACGTGGCTCTCGTCAGACACGTGACTCTGCCGGGGATTCTGCCACATTCGAGCCCCGTGGCTACAAGTCATTCTTGCGTAAACATAGGTACTCGAGGCAAGATGGCCTGACCTGGGACGTGGCCACCTCTCAGCTACAGCTCTCTGTTTTCTGTCCGCTGCCTAAACTGAAGTGGAATAAAAGTATGTATGTCTTGGCTTCTTAAATACTCCCATCCTTTCAACCACCTCTGCAGAGCCAGATATTGCTCTCTAGGAAAACACAGCTCCTTAGGAATGATCTATTTGCATAGTACTGTTGTCATTATAGATAATGAATATTAAGATTCTATTTACTTTAAAGAGCTCCCCCTCGTGATTAATTTGATCAATCAAGGTAAGGCCCAGTTACATTACATTAAATTAGACCAATACACCCAATATTACACCAAATATAGGTGTACAAGTCCCTAAAGATGACATATAGCCCACAAGAGAAATCTGCTTGCTTACTTCTTAGGGTGGTAAGGCCCAGTTACATTACACTAAATTAGACCAATACACCCAACCTATAGGTGTACAAGTCCCTAAAGATGACATATAGCCCACAAGAGAAATCTGCTTGCTTACTTCTTAGGGTGGTAAGGCCCAGTTACATTACACTAAATTAGACCAATACACCCAACCTATAGGTGTACAAGTCCCTAAAGATGACATATAGCCCACAAGAGAAATCTGCTTGCTTACTTCTTAGGGTTCCTTTTCCATCTTTACTGCGGGCTCCTCCTTCATCAAATTTTGGGTTGTTGACCATGTTGTGCACTCCAAGAACAGCTAAAAAGTGTAAATACCAGCAACAGGATACAATGTTAATAGCAGGAACAAAGACTGAAGAAAAGTATCTGCTACAAATTCTAGTTTAGTTCCCCAAACAAAAAACCCTTTGTAAAACATTAACTTTCTGAGTCGTGCTTGCTTGCAGGGAGAGTCTTCAGGGGTCTAAACACTGGAGATACAGACATTTTTAATACAGGTTTTTGAGCAACTGAATCAATGTAGTATGCATATCACAGAAATGCCAGCTGGAAGGAACCACTGCGGGTCATCTTGTCCAGCCTCCCCCTCAAGCAGGAGTGTTGCCAACATTAACCAGGTCAGCCGTGGCTTTGTCTAGCTGAATCCTGAGAACATCCAGGGATGGAAATCCCACAATCTCTTTGGGTAACTTGTTTCAATGCTACACTTCTAATCATTTTTTTTTCCCTAATATACAACCTGAACCTGTTATTGCTCTTTGTTGTATTTGGCATATCTGAGAATTTGGCTTTACGTGTGGTTAGCTTAATAAACTGGCATTCACACTGGGCTTTCTTATAGAAGCACATGGATGCTAATGTGCTTGGAAAAAAAAAAATATATATGTTCCAGGACCTTAAAATAAATAGTGAGCACATAAACTATTATGAGAGAAATGATAAGAGAAACCAAAACTCCACAAAAGAAGCTGCAAAGTTATCTTTTGTGCAAATGAACTTCCATAGTGTCAGAGATTAAATTGTGCTGTGTTTGCTGTTACTTCTCCCATAAATTATCTAACTGAACTTTATTCTATAGGATCATGCATTAAATAAAAGTTATTAATTTGATGTAGATTTTTACTGTTATCATCAGTTTTTTCTTATAGAAAATACTCTGTTCTGTAAGCAAATGACTCTTCAGTTGCTGTTACAGACTACTTTCAGAACTCTGGGCAGTAGGTGTGCTACCTTTTTTTTTTTTTTAATTAGACTTCAATACCTACAAATTCTGTCATGAATAGCTGCATACTGACCAGAGCTGAGCAAGACTTGGAACTTCATTCCATGAACTTCAGACTTCCTGAGAAGTGCCAGCTGCATTATAATCCTGTGATTCCTCTGATACCCCACATTTCAGTCAGAGCCAAGACTAATGCGTCCAGCAGTGGGTGGTGTAGCCAAGAATTACAGAAGATAATGGCAAGATCACTTCCTTTAATAGGACAATATAGTAGCTACAGAAGTTTTGAGTTTAATGTTGATCTAACCCAGATTTAGATTAATCTATGCTGAAATATTTAATTTAGATTTTCCTAATGAAAACAAAAAAGTTGTCAATGGAGTCACAATTCTCCCACCAAAACTTTTGTATTACTAGGGCCCAAAAAGGTAGACCGTGGACCTCAGAGAGCCCAGGGAAATACAGGATCCACTCTAAAGTGGGAGGACAAGGCATATGTCGCCAGTGGTTCCATAGGAAGGTCTCAACAACTAGGTTGAGCAGGTTTTTACGATGACCCATTGACATTAATCTCACCAGCCCTGGATAGTTCACTTCTTCCCAAATCAGGGATTCAGATGATGATCTAGCAAAAACATATGACATACCCATGATACTAACTGCTTGAAAATCACAGGTGGCTCAAGAACTATAGATTGGCCTTCGTTATACTGAAGGTTCAAATGTTATTTATGCAAGTGGATACACTTCAGAATTATTTCCTTTGTGCACACTCTAGAACATGAGGTTATACTCTGGATTAAAGGAAAAGAATTAAAAGTGGTGAAGACACCCAGGTCTAATCAGCTGGCAACCAATTTTCTGATTCAAAGGGTTAGAGTCCAAATTTCCTCATGGATGCAGGATCTTCATGCATTGCATCCTCTAACAAGTTCATCCTGCCATTTGGGATGTCAGAGTTGAGAGGAGGTAGCAATAGTATGCTACAGTGTGGGTGTAGTAAGATCCATGGTCTCCGCTACAATGCAAACACCCCAGCCTGCAGTCTACTGTCTACCCTTCCTTTCCCCAAATCATGTTAGCTGGTTCATCTTCTCCCCTTCCCTGACACATCAATTATAAGCAGATGAGAGAAGTCTAAAATGCAGCAGCTATTGAGTCATGCTTGAAGTCCTCATGGGCAACGCGTGGCCCACGGGTTGGCCACCGGTCCGTATAGTGAAACAGCGGGTACTTCAGAGATGATCACGAGACACTCCTGGTGGCAGGTCTAGGCAGAGAAGAACTGGACGTATAGGGGGATCACACCTATATATTATCTAACCTGCAAGGTCGTAGAGCTCAGTATCTGAAGCGCTAGCCAGGGCTTCTTCTAGTTCTGGATCCAGGGTCACTTTCTCTTCTGTACGGGTTTCTACAGGCTTTTCTTTAGGGATAAATATTTTTCCTAAGAGAAGAAAAAAGCCAGAGTGAGTAATGAATTATTGGAACAACTCCTCTGCCTCCTGGCAGTGGGAGAATAGGTCTGTGACAGTGGAACTGCTTGGAAATATTATCAAGTGCATGTTTTCCTCTTTCTTACTTGATGCTGTGCTCCACACCAGGATCTTACTAAGAGTCTAAAAATAAAAGGTGCAGACTTCTGCTCTGTGTTGGTGATTGTTAATATGGAAGCAAATTTCCTAAAATAAATCCCCAGGAGCAGTCACAGCTGGGATTTTTCTGAAGTTCCTGTGGCCTTAAATAGGCAGAATCAGGTCTACGCAAAAAGCTTGCAGAAATTTCATCCTTATATTTACATGAGGCACCAGAAGCAGTTAAAACCATCCTACTGCAAGAACGTTTCAGTTTACCAAATTCCATACAAGAGCCTGAATGCTCAGCAAACCTGTTCTCTTCCAGTAATTCAGTTTAATTTCCAGCCTTTCCATCAGTATTTTCCCCTCTGTGTCTCCTGATGATCATTCACATAAATAGCCTTTTCCTGATCATCTGTGCAGGCCTGAACTGAACTGAACCACATGTTCCCCAAGAAAGACTCCTGACCTATTTGTCTCTCTTTGTACGCTGCTGTTACATTGGGGTTAGCAGGTGTGTGTTTCCATGCGATATTCCCCCAAGAGTGAGATCATCGGCTTTTCTGCTGAAATGAGAAAACTGTAGGATAAATCCAGAAACAACACAAGACGTCTGACTACGCCTTTAGCCTGTTGTTACAGTTAACCCCAGTCGTGTGACGATGTAACTGCAAATGCCTGGAGTGAGGCCCTTTAAATCAGAGCTAGGGCTGCACTTCAGTCACCAGCGCTGCTGGGGCCTTCCTCCCAGTCAACGCTTTCCTGTACCAAACCCATACAGTCACTAAGGCACGAGATGATGCCACATGCAACAGACGGTGTCCTTGCTCTGATAATTCTGTGAATTCCCATGTTCTACTGTCCGCTGCAGAGTGGTTCCCCTCACCTTGTCCCTAACAACTACTTCTCAAGTAGGCTTTAGTTAATCCCATCGTAATGAAGCTGTGATGACCTTTGGATGCAGGTGGCTTTGGCCCACTGTCAACTTTAAATTGTCTTTTTGTGCAGCTTTGTACACTCTAGATGTAATGCTTGAAGCATATCCTGTGGCTTTCTAAAATGTCTCTAAAATAGCTAAATTTTTACTGTATTAGTGATCTTATTTTGTTACCATTAATAAATGCAGTTCTGATATTTAGTGTTGAGTTACAGATGCTTTGCCTCTGGTTTTTCAACACTGACATCCTTCTGTGGCTTAATTTTTCCCCATTATAGTCCAAAGTATCATTTTCATGTAGATAACACCCTATTCATTTATCTTTTTCATCCAACTTCATCTACAGCAATTTCTATACTGTCAGCTTCCATGACTGAGGTCACTGAATAAGCTCAGAAAAAAATTTTAATGGAAATTTCTGAAACTCTGGCAAGGTTTATTGACGCAGGATTTGAATTATTTACCCTAGAGATATTTGTACCAAGGCTAAATAATTTCTGAGTACAATACTGGACAGAAGGTTATGTAGAAAGACAAAGTCGTATCATATTATGATTCATTTTTCATGCGATATTTTAAGTAAGCCATTTTTTAAGAAGAGGCTTCTAGAAGATAAAAGCCTTTGTGGGCCAAAGGTAAGAATAATTTTAACTTTCCACATGCACTGGGTGATATGAATCAGACACAGCCATCCAAGCAACATCAAACAAAAGTCAAGAGGAAATCTGGGGTGAGAAATACTCTGTGAAGATAGATTAGTCATGCTCTCCAGATTTCATAGCAGCACAGGTGCTAGGATTTCAGGCTCTCTCTGTACTACCACCTAATCTGAAGTGTTGGATAGCAGCTTCCAGACACCACTGACCAAGACTTAACTTGATGCCAGCTTGACTGGTAAGGATAACACATAAGGAAAAAAATTCATGACTCTGTTGGAAGCTAGAAGACCAAAATTAATCAGAATGTCTGAGTTAAAAAATCAATAGTGAGGCGTACTGTCCGTAAAATATTTTCCTTTCAGATCACTGGTGGCTCCATATGAGTTTCAAGTAATCAGCAGGTCGTTTGAGATCTTGAGGGAATCCTACGTATCTTTATCCTGACTGATAATACTATCCCCTAACAGCTATACTCCACAGAGCCATAGCTTGCATGAAACACCTCCATCAGGCAATAAGTGGTTCTTCACAGACCCAAACCCCAGCCACACCGTTACCAAATACTGACGGAAGTCTGTACTGTCACACATAACATTGTAAGGGGACACAGGACCTCGAGTCCTGTGTAAACTGGACACGATATGTATTACAGTTGGTCCTTCTCTATGGAGGTTGGATGTGGGTAGGCCAAGTATCTCGTGTAGCAAGAAATACAGGGGTAATGGAAACCAGCACAGGCTCGTACTTTTTCTGTGCAGTTCACATATACATGAATACAATTTTTAAGCATTTGTTTCAGGCATATGTAATTCTTGGATGGCAGCCCAAATCTTTTTAAATGCGTATATGACTCCCAATGATAGTTTCATTTAAAGAATTCTTGGCAAATGTTTTAGAAAAAAATTCTATTACTGGTTATATGAAATATTTGAAGGGGAAAGGTCATGTCAAAGATGGTAATATATATCTTTCATATATGTGGGCCTTGCTGGCATCCAGTGGCGTTTTAAAAATATTCTTTTTTCTACTATCTAGATAAGAACATTCTTTTGCATTATCCTCCTGTGAAGAAATCCTGTAGCATAACAGACGTTAAAAGAGCTTATGCATTTAGCACGTTATTAGGAATTCATTACCTATCCACCAACAGCAAAACTGTGTGTCTGTGTTTATAGATGGCTGTCAACCCGTTTTCCTTCATTATTTTAAGGACAGAGTTTAAAGATTCAGGAGGTCCCTCCTAGTCCTACATCCATACATTGTAAATTCATTAAACGGTGCCGTCATGGAATTCACTGACAAAATAAAATACGGATTGTGGCTTGCTTGTTTCAATGGTCCAGCTTAAATTTAAAATTTATTATTTGGAAGAAGCCTTGGAAGAACAGTGACGTTTTATTATTTTAAAATGAGATTTATGAAGAAAGGCTGCTGCTCTTAGAGCTCTTTATATTCACCCTGTATTTTAGAAGGTACTTTATTATAACATTCCATGTGGTATAATTAATGTTGGCTGTGTTACATTTTGCCTCCAGAATATGCTAATGTTCTGTGCTAAGTCTTAATGGTAATAGCTTATTCTTCTACCAATGAAAAACACAGTGACAAAAGTTATGTTTATACATATCATATTTGAGCTATATCAGTGTTAACAACACAAAGATAACCACATTTATGTACAAAAATCATATCTTCTTGTGTTTAACTGCAAAACAAAAATTCCAGTAAAAGAAAGTAGTAAGCATTAAAATATCATTTTATTTTTACACATGCATAGAAACCCAAAATGTCTGGAATCCAAAGGGCTTTTTTTCAACATTAAATTTTAAGCGTAAATCAATGCAATTCTCCCCTTCTTTCTGTCAAACTGGGATAAGTGCCTGGAGTGACCTGGATGACAACTGAGGTGGCTTATTATAACCCAGGGGACTTTCTGACTGTGAGTGCAGTGAGTAGAGATTTGTCCTGCCTCAGTCTAACAACAGACCTATTCCTTTTCACACACTGCAAAACTTCTATTCAAATTGAAATATGATATGGTTCGTATTTTACTCCAAAGCGGCTCAGGAAAAAAATCCATTGAAAGCCAAAGAGAAGAAGGATTCAGTAAAAAGGACTACAGAGAGACACAGAAATGCAGAGTGAGATGAGAGGAAGACAAATTCTACAAAAAAAAAGAAATTCACTGGGTACAGTCATAAAACCATAGATGTAATTTTGCCACTTGGTTCCAGCAAGCTCTGATTTCCTGCATTACGCAAATGCTTCCATTAAAGCAATGTCAAAGTAAAGCAAGGACATGAGCCATATCCCTACCTCCATCTCCTTGTACAATAATAGTTAACTACATAACCACATATGCACATCTATAGGAAAATGCATTAATTGAGCAGGGAACTACTTCAAGTGTATTTTCCTGAAGTAAGTTTATTTGTTTATTGTTATATAAGGGAAGGGGGGGAGGAATTTGAATAGCATAGTTGGTAGGATTTTACTAGTGTGTCCAGTCTAAAAAACATTTTGAGGATTTCATCTTCATTTATAGTTTACAGTATTTGGAACATCATTTCTGGTATGTCTTTTCTCTGCCTTCCTTCTTATGCCACTAGACTTTTGTGAATAAATATAAATTGCCACCATTTTTATTTAGCATAAATACTTTGTATTTATTCCCACCTTGTACAAGCCAAAATTGTACAAGCCAAAACTCAACGAAGCACAGAGCAATGGGAAATAAGCCCATTTATACCAGCTGTAAAAATGTCCTTCTATTTAAAATCGGTTTTATTAAGGATAGTTACTTAATTTTATAATACAAATGCCTTTTCTGCCATAATTATAAAACAATAATGTACTTTCTTTTCCTATAAACTGTAGTTCAGATTATTGTACTTTCAAGAAAATATCTGGTTACACTCATTACTTCTTACTTTTCAATGAATCACTGACTACAGTGAGTGCCTGTTTATTCTCAACTACAGAACGCTACATTGACCTTAGAAGTGAAATTCAATAATCTTGGTGCCTTGCATAAATCACAGGCACCTGATTCACTTGTTCCATTTTGCACTATTCTTTTCTTTTGAGGCTTACTTAAACTCCTCCCTACAAATATTCTATGATAATGGAGCTAAATTAGTTCTTACCAGGAATAAATTTGTATTATGAAGAAGAAAACAGGCCAAGTTCAAATAAGTGTCATGCTGAAAGCTAGTAGTAATTAAAATGCAGTATCATAATTGCTGCTGTACCGTTACTCTTGGATTAGTGTCTG